TAGGGTACGTCGAATATATTACCCCTAGGTCCTGCGCTCGAAGCTGATGACTCAATATCAGGTTTCAACTGGGTAGGGTCAGAAGGATTTATCCGAGGCCGATTCAGCTTCGTCTGGGCCGGGAACCTTCCCCTAAGCCTTTGCAGTTGTGTAGGCTTCACCTGTGGGCAATTGGGAGCCTTAACACTGTGCTGCGGGGAGAGAATATTAACTCCTCGGAACGTACGACCCTTTTCAACGCTCCGGAGTGGTTTGCCCAACTTCTTAGGTACCTGGATAATCTCTAAGGGTTTTTTTTTACCCTCTAAATCTCCCCTGAATTTCTCAAAGGCTTGAAGATCACGAGAAGTAATATTCTTAGTTAAAGTATCTTTATTGGATAACTTTAACGAATTCTTACTTTCATGGGTGTTCGGCTGAAGTTTTTGTCAGAATGTTATGTTTTGTCTAGCCTGCAGTGGGGTACTCAATAGTGAGTACAGCCCAATTTAGGGTTTGCTATATGTACTCAACTGCTTGCTAGTGAAACCCCTTTTCTCGTTTCTAACTTTCAACTGCTATTTTCAACATGGAATCATAGCAGGTCGACCCCCTCGGGTCGATCCTGTGGATGGGCCCACCTAAGCTTCCGCTGTCAACACTGCCTATCGCGCGCCTCGGGCGCGCACTATCTTCCTGCCTGCCGCGCGCCCATGGCGCGCGGCCCTTTTTCTTCCCGTCGCGCGCTAGGGGCGCGCGGCGGTGCCCTGCCCGTCGCGCGCCTCGGTGCGCACGGCGGTTTCGTCGCCCCGGGGGGCTCGTGCGCGGCCCCCTCGTCGCCCGTCGTGGCGCCATTGGGGGCCCGCGCGGCCCCCCCTTCTGTCGCCCGCCGTGGCGCCCTTGGGGGCCCGCGCGTGACCCCCTTCCCGTCGTCAGTCGAGGCGACCCTGGGGGGGGGCGCGCGACAGAAGGGGGCCACGTGTCGGCCCCTCCCGTCTTCGTCGTGGCCCTGCCCGGCCCTGCTTTGCCCGGCCCTGCCGTCCGTCCCCGGTCCTGTCCCGGCCCTGCCCTGCCCGGCCCTGCCCTCGTCTTCGTCGCGGCCCTACCCAGTGTTGGGGTTTGGGGTGGCGAGTATGGGGGTGAAAGCTGGGTGGAGGGTGTGTGGCATCCCCTGCTCCTCCTCCTACTCCGTCTCCCACTGCTGCAGCTGCCGCTGAGGGGGGTGGGTGTGTGTGAGTCGACGGAGTGGTGCTAGGGGGTGGAGTGTGAGTGAACCTAGGGGTGCAGCAGGGGGTGTGTGAAAGGGGGGTGAGACAGTTAGAGGGAGGTTGGGCGGAGGCAGCTGTCGTGTCGCCAGCAGCGCCAGTAGTCCGGAGGCTACAACCTCCGGTAGCCCAGCGAGCCTGCTGCGCCAGTCGCCCGTGGGTCCGTTGCTCCTGCCGCTCAGAGTTAGCCGCGGAGCCAGTTACTCCAGTAGTCCGGAGGCTACAATCTCCGGTAGCCACAGTGCGCGCCGCTCCTGTTGCCCGTGTTTCTGCAGCTTCACCTGTCGTCTCCTATCTCTTCTCCTCTCACAGTCCCTCCTCCTCCTCACTTACCGTCTGTGACTGCCTCTAGCTTTGCTTATATTTGTGAACTATAAACTGCTGCTTCTTGTACTTGTGCTCAGAATGTGTGGTGACGTTGTGATCCACCCTGAGCTTGTTTTGCTTTGATTGTTGTGCTGATTACACCCCACTTTGGCTATGGGGGTGTGTCAGAATGTTATGTTTTGTCTAGCCTGCAGTGGGGTACTCAATAGTGAGTACATCCCAATTTAGGGTTTGCTATATGTACTCAACTGCTTGCTAGTGAAACCCCTTTTCTCGTTTCAAACTTTCAACTGCTATTTTCAACAGTTTTCCGGTCGGTACAGAGTCTTGTTTCACTAAGCCTCCATTTTTCTCGGCAATTTCCCCTGTTGGCGGCCGGTCGTGACGTTTTAAATTCGCGCCATCATGATCTCATTTTTTCGCCCACTCCGAAGTCGCCACGTCGTCGCCTTTTCTGGATCTTTTCGTGATCGCCAGGTTGATTCGCGGCTACTGGCGATTCCCATTTTGACTTCGGGGGTGCCGCACTGTTGTTGCCCTGCAGTTCCGCTCGTGCCTTCTTCATTTTCCAGCCCACCAAGAATCGATGTCCTGTTGCGCCACAAAATTCGAATTGCCCATTTCTCCCTTCTCTTCCAAATTGAGCCCCTTTTTAACTGTCAGAATCCCAGCCACTAACCACTGGGATAAAAGGGCGTGTTTGTGTAGCGGGTAAGTGCGCCTATAACCCTCCAGCCTGTTGGGCTGAGAATTAGCCCTTAGGATCTTTTAAAGGCTAAGAAAACGTACATGTACCCCTTCCCTAGGATCAATCGGGGAACTCCAGTGCACCTCTGACACCCCCCGTACTGGGATGCCCGAAGTGCACACTGGGATTCGAACCCGAGACCTTCGTTCTGAGACATAATCTCAGCCACTAACCTCTGGGA